AAATTCAATTTTAAGACTATCATGGGTGTAGTGGGAAAATTTATGTGGGCCTGTGCTGTTAGAAATTTGTTATCAAGTAGGGCATTGGGTTAACTGGGTTTTTGTTGCAATTAGAAGTGGAGATTTGAATGCTCTCTTTATCCATTGTAGCTTTCTGGGTTTTTCTTATTCGTACAGTTTCTCCCTTGTCTTTTTGATATCTCACATTTTAAAACCCTAAATACCGTAACGTAAATTCGTCCTTGCATTAATTCTTTTGCTTTTTTCTATCCCTTTAGGCTGCCATTTATCACATCTTTGATTTTATGGTTTTCAGATATTTCTCATGGCCTAGCTGTACTTCTCGCCTTTTCATTCATCAATAGGTCAGCAATTCACAAGAGTCCAGTTTTTGAGTTGCGGGAGCATCACCATTGAATTCTTCACACACTTCAATGGGTTTCTTGCTTCTCTTCTTTTGCTGTTGTATCTGCCTTCTTGTCTACAATTGATCTGTTGCTGCTACCCACTATCGGGATAACTGATATCGAATTTCCTGGGATTAGTAGGTAAAAAATCTAGGTCGTAAAGATTCTTGGTTACCCTGATTTAGAGCAGTTTGGTGGGTTCACTCTTCTCTTCTTTTGTGGTGATATCTTGGGTAGTGGGTTGAGACCAGGATAGATGACTGGGGATGAAGCTGGAGCTAGCTCCTCATGGAGTAGAGAGCAGGATAAAAGCATTTGAGAATGCTCTTGTAACTTATCCTGAGGACTCCACAGATTGGTGAGAGAGAATTGCTGGTGATGTTCCTGGGAAAACTCTAGAGGAGATTAAACATCACTATGACCTGCTGGTGGATGATGTTAACCGGATTGAATCAGGTTGTGTACCTCTTCCTGCCTATAATTCTTCTGAAGGTTCAATGAGCCAGGCTGGAGATGAAGGAACTGGTAAGAAAGGCAGCCATGTGGGGCATTACAGTGAGTCTAATCATGGAAGTAAATCAAGATCAGATCAGGAACGCCGCAAGGGGATTGCCTGGACGGAAGACGAACACAGGTGAATTTGTTATTTATTAATTTATTCGTTTTTCTTGTGTAGTAGATCATTTTGATACTTGCAAAAGTTTCTTGATAATGATGAAGATCTTCACCATGATTTTATACAATGCTTTATATCCTACATATTTGTGTCATTTCGAATTAATTATCTGGCAGTTTATATTGATATTTTTTGGGAATAACTTTTTACTGTTGTTGGGGAATTTTGTTAATTATCTTCTAGCAATCACTGCCTAAGTTGTGCTGTGCATTTCTTCCAACATCTGCGTCACTTGTGTAGGGAACCAGTTACCCCAAGTAACTGGTTCACAAATCTGCAGGTGGCCTTTGTGCTATTTGCTTTTGCCATTCAAAATGGGATGGAGGCTAAGGCAGGTTGTCATTTATGCTTTAGTTTGTGTTTATTTGCCAAAGCTAAAAATTCAAGGGAAAATAGGGTACAAAAGGCAAACTCCCAAATTGGTCATTTTATTGTTAAATGAAACAGAAATGTGAGTAGAAAGGTGACCTCATGTTACATTTGTGGAAAGAAATCTTTTCTGTGGCTCCTTGAGTGTGGTTGTGCACATTTTTGGTTTGATAACTCTTAAGTCTTTGTTTGAGAATCTTGTACAAGAAAAACGGATCTTGTACAACAAAACATGTTATCTTTATTGGAAATTTTGTGGATCCCTCAGCATTTATCTTTTGGACATTACAGATTGTACTCCCCTTCCACATCCTTTTTCTTTTTCTGGTTTTCTTGGGTAATTACCTGTGTTGGTTTCTCTTGAGTAGTTCCTGGGCTTTTGGCTGTGTGTGGTGTGTGCTTGCTTGTGTATTCATGCTCCTAAGGAGGTCAAGAAGGCTGTAACCTTTGTTGCTCTTTCCTTCTTTTTGTTAGTTTCAACAACAGAAGGGGCTTTGATGAGAATGACTGAGTGTCCTTTTTTTTTTTTTCTCTCTTTTGTGGGATGAAAAAGAAAGTCATAAAAGGCACCCGAGATGCCACCTATACAGAAAGATTTTTTTTATACCAACTACCAAGGAGGTGTCAACCTATATAAAAAAAATATTTTTATGTCAATCAAATTGTCAATAAGCTCCCTAAAATCCTTCAAAGAA